TCCTTCTCCGCCTCCTCCTCCGCCAGCAGCGCCTCGGCATGCCGCGCCGCCTCCGCCTCTGCCGCCGCACTCTCCACCGCCCTCGCCGCTGCCTCCGCCGCCTCCTTCGCCGCTGACTGCGCCGCCGCGTGCTCCTCGAGGGCGCGCACGCACTCGCTGTGGCCCCTCTCTTCGGCCAGCTGCAGCGCCGTCCTGCCGCTCGCATTGAACGCCGTCGTATCGGCGCCCGCCCGCAGCAGGTGGCGCACAATGGCGGGGTGGCCTTCGCCGGCGGCAAACGTCAGCGCGGTGTTGCCAGTGCTGTTCTGCGGGCCGACCTCCGCGCCGCGCTGCAGCAGCAAGTCAACCACCCGCTCGTGGCCGTTGTAGGCGGCGAGCATCAGTGCGGTGTCGCCGTCGCTATCCTGCAAGTTAGCACCCGCGCCGCGCTGAAGCAGCAGCTCGACCACCCGCTCGTGACCATGGCCAGCGGCGTCCGTCAGCGCGGTGCTGCCGTAGCTGTTCTGAAGGTTGATCTCCGCGCCGCGCGGAAGCAGCAGCTCGACCACCCGCTCGTGGCCGTTGGCGGCGGCGTGCATCAGCGCGGTGTCGCCATTGCTGTCCTGCGGGTTGACCTCCGCGCCGCGCTGATGCAGCAAATCGACCACCCGCTCGTGGCCTTTGCCGGCGGCGATCATCAGCGCGGTGCTGCCATTGCTGTCCTGCAGGTCGATCTCCGCGCCTCGCTGCAGCAGTATGTCGACCACCCGCTCGTGGCCGTTGTTGGCGGCGAGCATCAGCGCGGTGACGCCGCTCACATCGCCCGCCCGGCAAGTCGCATTGACCCGCCCGTCGCTGTCGAGCCACGCCAGCACCGCCGCCTCTTCGCCTTGGAGAGCCGCGTCCATCGCCTCTTTGGGAAGGCTGCCCAGTGAGCCGGAAGAGGCTGTGGCCCCCGTTCCCGCCGCCGCTTCGCCCGAGATAGCGCCGTCCGCGCCGCCCGCCGCCGCCTCGCGCCGGCTCGCAGTCACCTCCGCGATGTGCTGCCGGAAGGCCTCGACGCACTCGCTGTGGCCCTGCTCCCTGGCGTACTGCAGTGCGGATTTGCCGTCCTCAGTGCGCAACTTTGTATCCGCGCCCGCCCGCAGCAGGCGGAGCACGATGGCGTGGTGGCCTTTGACGGCGGCAACCATCAGTGCGGTGCCGCCGTAGCTGTTCTGCTTGTTGATCTCCGCGCCGCGCTGAAGCAACAGCTCGACCACCCGCTCGTGGCCTTGGTCGGCGGCGAGCATCAGCGCGGTGCCGCCGTCGCTCTTCTGCAGGTTGACCTGCGCGCCGTGCTGCAGCAACAAGTCGACCACTCGCTCGTGGCCGCTGCCGGCGGCGATCATCAGCGCGGTGATGCCGCTCACATCGCCTACCACGCACGTCGCATTGACCCGCCCGCCGCTGTCGAGCCACGTCAGCATTTCCGCCTCTTCACCTTGGAGAGCTGCATCCATGGCCTCGTTGGGAAGGCTGCCAAGCGAGCTGGAAGAGGCCGCAACCCCCGCTCCCGCCGCCGCCACGACCGAGGAAGCGCCGCCCTCGCCGTCCGCCGCAGCCTCACGGTGGCTCGCAGTCACCTCCGCGATGTGCTGCCGGAAGGCCTCGACGCACTCGGCGTGGCCCTCCTCCTTGGCCATCTGCAGCGCGGACTTGCCATGCTCAGAGCGCAGATTTGTATCCACGCCCGCCCGCAGCAGGAGGCGCACGGTGGCGTGGTGGCCTTGGCCGGCGGCGTACATCAGCGCGGTGCCGCCGTAGCTGTTCTGCAGGTTGACCTCAGCGCTGCGCTGAAGCAGCAGCTCGATCACCCGCTCGTGGCCCTCCTGGGCAGCGAGCATCAGCGCGGTCCAGCCGTAGCTGTTCTGCAGGTTGGCATCCGCGCCGCGCTGAAGCAGCAAGTCGACCACTCGCTCGTAGCCGTTGGAGGCGGCGATAACCAGTGCGGTGACGCCTTTGCTGTCCTGCTGGTCGATCTCCGCGCCGCGCCGAAGCAGCAGCTCGACCACCCGCTCGTGGCCGGTGAAGGCGGCGCCCATCAGCGCGGTGACGCCGGTGCCGTCGTGCTGGCTGACTTCAGCGCCGCACTGAAGCAGCGACTCGACCACTCGCTCGTGGCCTGCGAGGGCGGCGCGCATCAGCGCGGTGGCGCCGTCGCTGTTCTGTGTGTTGATCTCCGCGCCGCCCCGCAGCAGCAACTCGACCACCCGCTCGTGGGCGTTGCCGGCGGCGATGTGCAGCAGCGTGTCACCAGCTGCGTTGGCCGCGTTCACGTCGGCCACGTCGCTGCTGAGCCACGCCCGCAGCACTCCTACTTTGCCGGTCGCCGCCGCCTTCACGACGTTGGCCGGCGCCTTCACGTTGTGCATGTGCATGTCATGTGAGTTAGATCAAGCCCGTTTCTTTTTTCGCGAGGTGGAGCAGGCAACATGAGAAAAACTGGTTTCTTATTTCTCTGGCCCAGCCTAGGCCGCAGCGCCGCCTGGCGCGACCGGGCAGCGTGCGCCTCTCCCTGTCGCGCCTCTCCGCTACTGGAGGCCAACCGCGAGTCCGCGATTGACGCGCTCACCAAGGCCCGCGAGAAGAGGACGCGGGCGACCACGCGAGCGCCGTCCGCCTCGCGGAGAAGAGCCTGCGGATCTGCAAGACGGAAGAGGCGCAGGCGTTCCTCGACTTTGGTGAGGCGGAGCAGACGCGCAGGGCGAGACGAGGGAGGGAGCAGGACGTTGCGGAAATCAGCAGGAGGATGTACGAAAAGACCAGCCGCAGGACCCGGCGCACCCCCCCCCCCCCAAGAGCCGGAACCCAAGAGAATGGTTTGTGCTGGTTCGAGCTGTCCCCACACGGCCGTGCTAGCGGCTGAGCGAGGCGAGGAGGAGGCGGTGCTGGCGTGGCTTGACGGCGGCGGGCGGGCCGACGCGACGTACGAGCAAGGCGGCGTTAGCGGCCTCACGTTGCTGATGACCGCCGCCCGCAGTGGCCAGGAGCGGCTGGTCGAGCTGCTGCTGCGGCACGGCGCGGAGATCGACCTGCAGACCAGCGACGGCGAAACCGCGCTGATGGCCGCCGCCAACAACGGCCACGAGCGGGTGGTCGATTTGCTGATACGGCGCGGCGCGAAGGTCAACGTGCAGGACAGCGAGGGCCTCACCGCGCTGATGTGCGCCGCCAGCAACGGCTGCGAGCAGGTGGTCGAGCTGCTGTCTCGGCACGGCGCTGAGGTTGACTTGCAGAGCAGCAACGGCCACACCGCGCTGATGTTCGCCGCCGACTACGGCCACGAGCGGGTGAGCGAGTTGCTGCTACGGCACGGCGCTGAGGTCAACCTGCAGAGGAGCGACGGCAGCACCGCGCTGATGCGCGCCGCCTACAACGGCCACGAGCGGGTGGTCGACTTGCTGATACGGTACGGCGCTGAGGTCAACCCGCAGGACAGCGACGGCGACACCCCGCTGATGCTCGCCGCCTACATCGGCTGCCCCGCCTCCGTGCTCCGCCTGCTTCGGGCTGGCGCAGATGCAAAGGCTCGCTCTGCAGACGGCATGTCCGCGCTGCAGATCGCCAAGGAGGAGGCGGCCAAGGTGCTAGCTACTGCCGACGCCGCCAGTGCTCCTGAAACGGACCACGCCGGGTGCGTGCGCGCTCTCACAGAGCACGCAGCGGCGCTGAGGGAGGCGGAGGCGGCCGAGAAGGCGGCCGAGAAGGCGCTCGAGGCCAAGGGGCGGCGCGAGCAGCGCGAGCGGGAGGCGGCGGCGGCGGCGCGAGAGCGCGAGCAGGCGGCACGCAGGCGCGAGGCAGAGCGAGTGGCGGACGAGGCGCGCCGGGCGGCGGACGCGGCGGCGCTGGAGGAGCAGAGGCGAGCCATTGCGGCGGAGGCGGAGGCGAAGCTAGCCGCTGAGCGCGCGGCAGCAGAGGAGGTGCTGCGGGCGAGGGAGGCGGAGAGGCGAGCAGCAGAGGAGGCGCAGCGAGAGGAGCAGCGGGCGGCCGCGGCGGCGCGCAAAGCCGCTCAGGCAGAGGCGGCGCGGCGCGAGAAGGAGGCTGCGGACAGGAGGGCGGAGGAGGAGAAGGCGAGGCGGCGCGCAAAGGCGGCGGAGGCAACGGCGGCCAAGAAGGAGGCCAAGGCGAAGAAGAAGGAGGCCAAGAAGGCGCCGTCTGCCTTAACGCTCGAGGAGGAGCGGAGGGCGAAGGCTGCGGCAGAGGTTCGCGCACAGGAGGAGAGGGCGGCGCAGCTGGCTGCTGAGCAGGAGTCGGCGAGGCGGGCGGAGCGGGAGGCGGCAGAGCTAGCGGGTGCGGCGGAGCGGGCGGCGCTGCGCGAGGATGCGGAGCTGGCAGAGGCGCTGCGCCGGTCAGAGGTGGATGCGGAGGAGGCGCTGGCGCGTCGGGTGTCGCGGTGCGAGGAGGCGGTGAGCAGCGAGTCGACCGGCGGCGGCGGGGACTTGCCGCGGCGTGTCGAGCGGCTGGAGGCGAGCCTCGGCGCGGCGACCGAGGGCAGCCTCGAGGAGCGGGTCAGCGCTATCGAGCGCTTGATCGGGTCAGAGGCAGCAGAGAGGCAGGGCACAGGTGGCAGCGGAGCGCCTTGTACCAGTCACTAAGGCGTTTGCAACCGTCTCTCTGCAGGACGCAGCTCAGCCCCCTGAGCCGGCGTCAGAGAGCGAGGTCCCGCCTGAACCGGTGTGCACCCTAGCGATGTGCAGTGAGGCGGACAGGCGAAGGTTCCAAGTAGTCGGAAGGCCGCGACCGTCAAGTGTTCCCCGGCGAAGATACAATCGCTGTGAACTCAACCACGTACACCCCGTTTAAAGCCGCGTAAAGCCGTACATCTGGCATGACGACCTATCTCACTTCTCAGTTCTCACGGGTGGTGCGGAGCTCGCGGAGCCCCCAGCAAGACAACTTGTGCAAGACCACGGGACATTGGGCTCCACCCTCCCAAAAAAGTCCTCCCGCCTTCCTCCCACAATGCTGCCACGATCCGTGCGCCGGCGCCAACAGCAGTACTGTACTTGGATGCTGTCCTTGCGCGCGGCTAGTCGGCATCCGCCTTGGCCCTCGCGGCGGCCGCTGACGCGCGCCTCGCCTTGACGGCAGCCAGTGCCGCCTCCGCCGCCTCTGCCGCCTCTGCCGCCGCAGCCGCAGCCGCCGCAGCCGCCGCCGCCGCGGCGGCGGCCGCCTCCTCCTCTGCCGCTGCCAGAGCGTCCGCCTCGGCTTCCGCCTCCCGGCGCGCCTCCGCTGCCACCAAAGCTGCCTCCTCACCCGCCTCTGCCGTCTCCTCCTCGCTCGCTTCCCCTGCCGCCTCGGCCTCCTCTCCCAACGCCTCCGCCAGCCCCTCGACCGACGTCTCCGCCGTGATGCCGTACCGAATCCGCTCCTCGTGGAGCGTCTCGAGAAGCCTGATCAATCCCTCCCTGTCCAACGGCGCGGGCTTGGCTGCGTCTGCCTCTGACGGCGCCTCGGACTCCTGCGACGGCCCAGCGCCGCCGCTCCCGCCGCCTTTCTTCTTCTTCTTGCCCTTCTTGCCCTTGCCGCGCTTCTCCGCCTCGACCTCCGCCAGCAGCTCCTCGGCGTGCCGCGCCGCCTTCTTCTCCGCCGCCGCCCTCTCCGCCTCCCTCTCCGCCGCCCCCGCAGCCCACGCCGCCTCCTTCGCCGCCTTCTCTGCCGCCCTCTGGGCCGCCGCATGCTCCCCGAAGGCGCGCACGCACTCGGCGTTGCCCTGTTTCTTGGCAATCTGCAGCGCTGTGCAGCCAGCCGCCGTGCGCGGCTTCGTGTCGGCGCCCGCCCGCAGCAGGCAGAGCAGGGCTGCGGGGTGGTTCTGGTGGGCGGCGAACATCAGCACGGTGTTGCCGTCATTGTCCTGCTGGTTGATCTCCGCGCCATGCTGCAGCAGCAGCTCGGACACCCGCTCGTGGCCTTTGAAAGCGGCGAACATCAGCGCGGTGCTACCGATGTTGCTCTGCAGGTCGATTGAAGCGCCACGCTGCAGCAACGCCATGGCCAGCCGCTCGTGGCCGTAGAGGGCAGCGTACATCAGCAGCGTAATGCCACTCGCACCCTCATCAGCGAAACTCGCGTCCACCCGCCCGCCGCCGTCAAGCCACGCCAGCACCGTCGCCTCGTCGCCTTGCATAGCCGCCGCCACGACCTCCTCGGGGACGGCGTCCTCGCCCGTTCCGCTCTCCGCCGCCGCCCCCTTGCCCGAGGCGGCACCGCCGTCCGCCCCTGCGCCGCCCGCCTCGCCGATCTCCTCGGGAGCAGGCCCGCTGCTGCCGCCCGAAGCGCTGCCTGCCCCTGCGCCGCCCGCCTCGACCGCCGCCGCGTCGCGCCTCCCCGCCGCCACCTCGCCGAGAAACGTCTTGACGGCGGCGATGCACTCGGTGTGGCCCTTCTCTTTGGCGATCTGCAGCGCCGTGTCGCCGTCCGCAGTGCGCAGCGCCATGTCTGCGCCCGCCCGCAGCAACTGGATCACGACGACAGAATGGCCGTGGTAGGCGGCGGCCGAGAGCGCACTGCAGCCGCTAACGTCTTGCAAGTCGACCTCTGCGCCGTGTCGCAGAAGCAAGTCGACCACGCGCTCGCGGCCTTGGTGGGCAGCGAACATCAGCGCGGTGCAGCCGCTGATGCTCTGCAGGTTGATCTCCGCGCCGTGCTGCAAAAGCTTCTCTACCACCTGCCCGTGGCCCGAGAGGGCGGCGGCCATCAGCGCCGCAAGGCCTTTGCTGTTTTGCGCGTTCACCTTCGCGCCCCGCTTCAGCAGAACTTCGACCAGTTGCTTGTGATCGTGATCGGCGGCGATCAGAAGAAGCGTCCAGCCACTCACACCGCCACGCACGCACCTCGCATCAACCCGCCCGTCCCCGGCGAGCCACGTCTGCACCACGCCCGCCTTGCCATCCTCCGCCGCTGCCTCGATCTTTTTCGGCAGCGCGAGCGGCGCAGCCTGTGCCGCCGTGGAAGCGAAGCGCCCTTTGCCAGCGCCGGTTCGGCCGGGCATGAGGCGCGCGTGGGGGGAGTGAGGGAAGAGTGCGCCTCAGGAATGTGTGTTTCTTTCGGCGGCACTGGGGCGTATAAGAGAGTGAAGCTCGAGGTCGTTTGGCGAGACTGCGTTTGGCTAAACGAATGCCGGAGACCGCTCGCTAGACGCTTTAATACAGTTCAGCGTTCGTCTAAACGGCGCTAGGAGAATAAACGCTCGCCTCTGACAGTTGGACGACCTTGGGAGCTGACTTGGTGTCTGACGGCACTCTGCTCGCCGCCGCAAGGCTCCTCTCCTGCACCGCCTGCAAGCCATCAAACTGCCGGTTCAGCCTGCGCACCTCCGCCATCACCGCCATCAGCATCTCCCCGTCGGTTTTCTGCCGCCATCCACTCGAATCCGGGTCGGCGGCTGACGCGTCGGACAGGGCTGGTTCTGCTGGCGCTTCACTTTTCGCCGCCAGCCGCTGCCGCAGTAGTCGTTGCACACACGCTCCGACCAGAGCGGCGCCACAAAAGCAAAAAAATATGTAGAAGAGGCTTGAGATCCTGTCCCACGAGATTGGTGTGGTGTCCTCACTGCCCTCGTCGTTGTTGCATTTCTCGCCGGAGTAGAACAAGCGCTTGCGAAGCGAAGCCTGCGAGACCACGACATTACAGGTTACAAGTGCGGTGATGCGAAGGGCGACGGTTCGAGCGGCGGCACGCACGTATTTTTTCGAGGCCACAAGACGGTCGAGCGCGTGACTCACGCGCCATGCGTACCATTCGTTGCTGAAGCGGAACTCGAACGGGACGGCAGTAGGCACAACTTGCAGCCATTCGGTGTGTGCAAACCCTTTGCAATCCGCCGTCGAGTGAAATAGATTTTGATCTGTTCAACATCCGCGACAAAGATGTCGGCGTCCCCGCTGGACACCTGATCCACACAGTACCGAGTACGGTCCTGGCGACGGTAATTAGAATCGAAGTAAGTGTCCTCTAGCGTCCCCAAGTGGGTTGGCCAGATGACCCGCCGAGCGTAGGGCTGCACCGTCTGCTGCATCACGTCATCCTGCACACACGCGACAGACTCCTCGAGCGCGGACATGTCCTCGGGCCCGTGAAGTTTGAACGACGGCCTTGTGAAAAAAGCCGCCAGATTGGCGGTGTAAGTCGAGGTGAGCACGAGTACGACAAAGATGGTGCCGAACCGCAGCACCTTCATCGGTGCCGTCGTGTAGCCCTCATAAGTCTCGCCGTCGAAGAAGTTGACCAGCCCGTGGTACACAAACGTGGTACCCTCTGCCATGCAGCGCTTTACGAGCTCGCGAGGCGACGTGCCTCTCTCGATGGCGTCGACTGCGAAGACCGTCACGCCCCACACTATAGCGCACATGAACCACGCAATCCACACGCCGTTTTCCAACGGGTCCATGAACGGCAGCGCCCCCCCGCCCGCTTTGGTGCGCTTGACCATCCCCGTGAGATGAGTATGAATAAATGGGGCTGAAAGCACCCTGAGATCATCTCCCAAGGATGGATGGCTGAGATTAAGAACGTTCGACGTTGACACGTAGGGTGTTGCCAGCGAGGGCGTCAAGTAGGCAGAGCCAGTGATGACGCCAAGATCGATCCATTGCTTTGCAAAGAGGTCGAATTCGTAGATGTACGAGTCGTTGTAGGCCAGGATGTCGAACGAGATGCCAGGATCGAAGATCATCACCTCACGAAGCACGTCCACCACGAAGCCACCAAACGGCAGATTCTGCTGTCCACCCTCCGGCAGCAACGAGAATGAATCGTACGGCTTTGTGCCCATTGACGGATCAAACGTGTAAAGATCATTGACGGGCAGCATCGACAGCCCCAGTGTCAACATCCGCACCTCGGGGGAGGTCGACTGCGCTACCTCCGGCTCATAGTACTCGTTCACCTCCGAGGTGTTTGACGGCTGCCCCATCAACTGCGCTGCCTCCGAAGCATTCACCTCCGAGGCAGTCGACGGCTGCTGCCGCATGAGCAGCAGTAGCCACAGCTTGGTACGCGCAGAGCGCGACATGGATTTCGTCGCCTGCGAGTTACGTCGCCTGCGAGTTCGTCTCTGGCGTGCTGCCTGTCGTCCGTCCTCGCCGCTCTGTCTTCTTCTTGGTGAGAGTGATCTGTGATCTGGTGAGAGTGATTAAATTCTTCTTGTAGTGCCGGTGCCGTACCCGGTGTCGTGCGAGAGAGTTTTGTTGTAACATTCTTCTTCTTCTGATGCGTCAAATTCTTCTTCGAGGGTGCAGCTTGACACCCTTGTGTTGAGCACCGGTGACTGTGGGAATGGGGGAAGCAGAGTTCAGTCGAGGGAGTGATGATCTCCCTCACATCCTCAACGGGCGTCCAATTGCAATCGGATTTACTACGGCGGTGGTTCAAGGTAATTAATCTGCAATTGGACGTGCCCGTCCATTCATTGTTCTCGCCGTTCTTCGGCGGGGGGCCGCGTCAGGGCGGGGGCGCAGGCGCGTGCCCCGCCCGGCGCGCAGGCGCCAAGTGCGGTGCGGAGTGTGCGTGTATTTGACTGCAAATTCAACTCGCTCAAAATAAGAAAGACTTGTATACAGCGCTCCAAGAGCTGCTAATTCCGAACGCCGACCGACGACTGCTTCGCGGCATCCAGCAGGACGTTTGCTAGCAGGAGCGCACCTCCTCAGTGACCTCCTTCAAATTTGCTCGTCTCAGTTTCCACGCCACGTATCACCAATCACGACAGCCAACCACCAAAAGACTGCCCTACGACGCCCCGCACCATGCTGCACGCTAGACACCCATCCCGCCCTTCGTCACGGCCTGTGTGTGGTAAGCTGCTCCACACGATACGCTCCTGAGGTACATTGACACACAGGAGGCGCGATCGGACCCCTCGCATCGCATTTCGCCCTCTGCTCGATTCTCCGTGCCCGCTACACATTCCCCATAGGTGCCGCCAGCAGAGATCAACGCTCTGAAGCAGCAGGAGATCTGGTTGTCCAAGGCGTCACGAATGGGGCAGTCCGATTTCGTACGCCAGGTGGCAGGTGCGCGCGGGGTGCACTAGTCTTACCTCGCGGGGTACCGACCCAGCAGCCCCCCACTTCTGCCCTCAGCGGCTCAGGTTGGCGGCCGGCGTTTGCCACAACTGGGATCCGTGCACACCACTCCGGCCTTGGAGGGGGCAGAGGCGCGGCAGGTGCGCAACTTTGAGAGGCCGATCACCAAGGAGAGGTGGGTGACGACGGAGCCATTCTACCTGTCTGTCCCATCGGACAAGGTTGTGCCGACCACAGGGCAGTGGGTCAAGGTCAAGTCGAAGCTGCAAGCGGCGGCCAAGCTCGCCGCCAGCTCCACCGCGCTCAAGAGCCGAGTAGACGCCGACTCTCGCCTGGCAGCAACCGCGCTCTTTGGCGCTTTGCCATCGCCACCACCTCGAGTCCTTGCGGACTGAGAATCGTGTATCCCTGTGTGTTTTACCTAAGACGATGTTGGGCTCAAAGAGGCGGTGTTGGGCTCAACGCGGCGGTGTGCGTGGCACTAGCAGGACCAGGAGGATTAGCGGTGAAGGGCCATAATTAGATTCTTAAATTCTTTTCTTCGCGATGTCCACCCCGCCGCGCCGCCGCTCGCTCCGCCTCGCCCCCGCCGCCACCGCCGCTCCCTCGCCAGACGCGCCGCCGCCCGCCCGGCTCCTCGACCTCCCCAGGGAGCTCCTCGAGCGCGTGCTCTCCCGCTTCGACAGCCCCGTCGCATCGCTCGCGTCGCGGCCGTCTCGCTCCTCTTTCACTCGCTCGCGGAGCAGGGCATCCGCTTGTGGGCGCAAGAGCGCGGCTTCGAGCTGCCGGCGCCGCCAGCGGGCGAGGGCTGCGCCGTGTGGTGGCTGTGATTCGCCGCGTTGCTGCACGAGTCCAACCGGCCGGCGAGGGTGTCAGCAGGCGAACAGCATAGCGTCTTCATCGACGGCGAGGGGCGGCTGTCGTCGTGCGGCACGGCAACGGACGAGGAGGAGGACGAGGACGAGGACGAGCAGTTTTCAGGCCTTCTCGGTCACGGCGAGGGCGTGACGCAGCTCAACACGGCGACCCGCCTCCCGTCAACGCTGGGTGACGAGCGCGCCGTGAGCGTGTCAGCTGGAGCCGTGCACAGTCTCGCCATCACCGCCGACGGCGCTGTCTGGAGCTGGGGCGTTGGAGGCCAAGGCCGGCTGGGCCACGGCGACGCGCAGGACCAGTTGCAGCCCAAGAAGATCGAAGCTTTCGCTGGCCAGCGCGTCGTCGCTGTGTCGGCTGGAAGGGCTCACAGCCTCGCCGTCACCGCCGACGGCAGCGTCTGGAGCTGGGGCCATGGAGCCTTTGGCCAGCTGGGCCACGGCGACGATCAGAACCAGCTGCTGCCCAAGAAGGTCGAGGCCTTTGCTGGCCAGCGTGTCATCGCTGTGTCGGCTGGATTTGCCCACAGCCTCGTCCTCACCGCCGATGGCTCCGCCTGGAGCTGGGGCGATGGAGGCTTGGGCAAGCTGGGCCACGGCGACCAGCAGGACCGGCTGCTGCCGAAGAAGGTCGAGGCCTTTGCTGGGCAGCACGTCGTCGCCGTGTCGGCTGGACGCGACCACAGCTTCGCCCTCACCGCCGACGGCGCCTTCCTTACCTGGGGCCAGGGCGATGCCGGCTGCCTTGGCAAAGCCTGCCCACGGCCAGCACGCTCAGACACGTCTGCTGCACGCCGCGCACGCTGGTCTGCACGTCATCAGCATAGAGCTGCGGGTTCCTGCGCCGATCGTTCCAGCGCAACTTTTGCTCGCAGCCCGTCGTCAATCGCCTCGATAATCGCCAGGTCTGCCATCCGACCGCCAGGACAGAAGCGGCCACTGGGTGATGCGGTGGGCTAACCCCAAAGCCGGTGCAGGAGAAGGAGCGTGGCTCGCGCTGCTTGACGACAGAGGCCGAAGGGCCTTGCTGCTCGTGTATCCATGGACCGGCTCGCCAGAGAACGAGGTGGGGAGGGAAGAGGACATCCTCGAGCGAAGCCTTCAAGTCCGTTGGGAATAGAGGACGTGCGGGCGTTGGCTCAGCCTCCAGCGCCTCGGCGCGTTCCTCTGCTCTGCACATCCATGTGTGGAGCTCAGCATTGCGAGCGCTTCTCTCCTCTTCACGACGAAGAGCATACGCCCGAGCTGCAGTGCCCGCTCTCCTTCGAGGTCATGACAGACCCGGTGATGAACGCGGCTGGCCAAACCTACGAGCGGGCGGCCATCGAGAAGTGGTTCGCGAGGGGCAAGCGCACCGACCCGATGAGCGGCGCGGTGCTAGAGCACACCGACACGCGCCTAGTGCCGAACGTGCTCGTGCGCGGAATGTGCCGCCGCGACGATGTCGTGCGAAGAAAAGGAATTCGAGTCACCTCCGGAATAGAAACCGATGCGAGACCGCCGGGGGCCGCTAAGTGGGCACCCTCTCTTGACGTATACGTAACAACTCGTGATTTTGGTTTTTGCCGCGCGCCGCGGCCCGCGCGATACAAGTTACAACTCAGACCTACGGCTCTACACACTCTAAAAGGTAAGCACAGATACAGTCGGTCGACGGGCGAGGACCCGAGGCTCGCACCCAGCACACGCGACAGGCGACACGGGGGCGCGGGTCGTGTGTCTCACACACTCACCTGCCCCAGGTGGCACACCGCTCCGCCGAGAGCACGAAAGCAGGCGGCACCTGAGGCACCTTCGGGAGCTTCTCGAGTCCGAGCTGCCTGATGCTCGACAGCACCACCTTGAGCTTTGGCGCGTGCTCCGCGATGGTGTCGCCCGAGTACGGGGTCAGAGGGGTCAGCCATTTGCCCTCGCACATCTCGAACACGCCGCAAGCGTAAAAGTCCACGTACGTCGGCTCCGCGCCGAAGTAGTACGGGCCTTTGATGCTCCGATTGATGGCGCACAAGATTTTGAGGTAGCGTCCTCCCGTGATGAGCTCCTTGAGCTCAGCCACATCGTCGGCAGCGGAGCCCGAGGGGTTTGCCGCTCGGTTCAGCTCGGTGTGCAGATCGTTTAGGTCTTCCATGTACTGAATCGCGACCTCAGGAACGTCGATGCCGGCGTCGTAGCCCAGTTTGCGCCCAAGGTAGAGGTGGCATGGCACGCTCTGCGAGATCGTGAGTTCACCGTCAACCAGGATAGGCGGCGCGAGGTTGGTGGTCTCGGCGCCGAAGAGGGCGCAGCCGAACTGGTTCATGTCGTTGATGACTTCAAAATCTTGGCCTTTCTCGGCCATCATGCGGTACAGGCCAGAGCCGCGGGCCAAGATGGGCCAGTACTTGATCGTGATCTTCGTCATCGTCGCAAGACTCGGATTCTCGGCAACACGGCAGCTGCCCGCCTAAGCAAAACCTAGCAAAAAAATCCCTTCGCTTTCTTGTTTTCTTCGGTCGTTGTCGTTGGTTGTCGTCGCCGTCGCCCTAGTCTAGCTTCAGGACGATGCTCTTGGTCCTGCTGCAAGCCGATCCCAGCCTCGCGCCGTTTCCCGTGTCCCTCCGCCCATCGCGGCCGCCGCCCGCCCGCTTCGCCGTCCCGTGCCTCTCCGACCGTGACTCGCTTCTTGCCAGAAAGCCGCCGGAGATTGTGTACGCCGCCAACGCCGCCACCAAGTGGCTGGTAGTCGCCGCTCAGACCTCTGCCGTCGCGCTGCGCCGCGACCTGGTCAGCCCGTACATCGTCGTCGGCGCGATCGGCGCCTCGTTTGCGACGCAGCGGCTCAAGCGCGCCATCAACCAGGCACGGCCCGCCGGCGCCCCATTCACAGACCCAGGCATGCCATCCTCGCACGCGCTCGTCGCCAGCTTCGCGGCCGCGGCGTGGGCCTCCCACCTCCGCTCGGCGGGCGCGACCGCCGTGCTCGCCGCCGCCGCCGCCGCCACCTCGCTGCTTCGGGTCGTGACTGGCTACCACACGTGGGCGCAGATCCTGGTCGGAGGCGTGCTCGGCAGCGCGGCCGGCGGCGGGTGGCTGGCGCTGGGTGGCTGGCTGAGGGGCCGCCTCCCGGCTCGATTGCTGGCGGTGGCGGTGTGGTCTGCGTATGCCGGCGGCTCGGCGCGTGTAGAGTCCGCCGTTGGCCGAGCGCCAGGTTGCGAGGACTGCCCTTTACAGCGGGCCTCTTGCGAGTAGGCGCTCTTCATCGGGGTGAAGATGGCGCGCTGGGTGGGCGGAGACCTCGACGAGGGTAGGATGGAGGAGGAGGGGCCGCCGGGCAGCGCGCGAGACGACTGATATATACAACAGTCTGCATGCCATTGGAGTAGGGTTGCCCCTAACCCCTAGGCTTAAAAGGGTGGGCCCTGGGGCGCCTGCGGCTTAAACGGCTTAAAACTTGCCCGGGCAAGTTTTAAGAGCTGCTGGGCCGCCAATTCCTTAAACGGTCTTAAACGCTTAAACGCGGTGCGGGAGAGCTCCCGAGCCCCCGAGTGGCCCGAGCGCCCGAGGTCGATGCGGGTCCGACGCGGGAGGCTCCCGGTCGAGACGCCGTAGGCCGGGAAGCTGGCTACAGTCAGCTAGCACGCGTCCCCTATGCGAGTATGGCTCCTGCCAGTGCATCAGACTTACAGATGTGTCTTCAGAGGCGGGTTTGTGCCTAATAACGGCAGTATTGTGGAGAAAACGGCGCGGAACCCAGCGACGCATGCCGGCGAGGCCGATTTTCTTAAACGGTCTTAAAAGAGGGACCCCCCGTGCCTGCAATCTCTTAAATGGCAAGTTAAGCCCCCAAACCTCCTCGTTTCTTAAAAGGTCTTAAAAAAATCCGGCCCTCAGAACCCTAGCGCCTAGGGGTCCCCTAAGTTCGTTGTGTTCTCCCCGACCGCCAGCCCGAGACGCTCAGTTGCTGGCGGCCGCAGCGCTTTCTGTGACCCGCCCACCTCTCCCTTGTGTTTTGTCTGGGGAGGGAGGGGTTTCTCCTGCCGAGTCGTGCATGCGCGGGGCTCCTCTTTGCGAATACTCCCTAACATACATTCTAGGGTACCCAGGCTCCGGGCCGGTGTGCGGGGAGCGAACCTTAACGACCGCCCAGAAGCTTTCTGAGCGAACCAATCGGGCCGGGATCATCAGCATATGTCCCCTCCACAACATCGTGGGCGTTTGAGCCGTATTTGAGGAGCACCGCGACTCTGAAGGTCTGCAGACCCCCCCCCCCGGAGCAGCAGAGGCTCCGTGGGGTCGCAGAGTCGACGCTGGGAGTCGCACTCGTCAAGCCATCGCAGCACCACGCGGTTCGCACGTACAGCCCACATCCCCTCCACCGCTGAGAAGGCGCAGATCGACCGCCGGGCCGCGTAGTCGTCGTTAAGGAGCGGTTTTTGGAGCCGTACGAAGAGGTCCCAGACGGGCGAACATGCGGTTTTTCGACGACCACACGCGATGTGGTATCTGCTTTTTGCTAAAAACAGGCCGCCTAGTGCAGCATCACTAGTACAACACGCAACCACACTGAGAGCTCCACACTAGCCGGTATAGGCGAGAACCGACGGCGTCACGGTCGCCGGAGTGGACGCACTGCACACACACTGTGACCGTGTCGACGGTGTGACACTGAGCGACACAATCGTCGGCGCCGCGCTGTCGCGGCGCCCCGCAGTCTACACGCCTCAGGCGCACCCCTGAACGCGCCATGGGCGCGCAGATACACCGCAGCGCCGTGGAGAATCCACACCTGGCCGGTCCCAAGCCCCGTCCTGGGCCTCCAGACGGCCGAAGATCGGCGTTCGGGCGGGATGAACTTGTCGGAAATGGAGCTTGGCGCGGCTCGCCGCTCGCGGTACCTGGTGAGCCGGGATAGGGCAAAATCTGGGGTGAATACGAGGGACAGAGGTCGCAAGTTAGTCGCGCAAGTTTGCGCGGCGTGTGGCGCTGCCCCGCTGCCGAGGGCGCCACCAACCCGTGGCGGCGGCATTTCCAGCCCAAATTGGGCGTTCCGTGCGCCTTGCCGGCGAGAACGGAGGGGCTGTGGATCGTTGGTGGGGTGAGTGGGAGGGAGGTGGTCGTGTGCTCACTTTGGCGGTCGCGCGCGAGGTGATCACTGTGTGTGAGGCGCGCGGCCGAGAGGCGAGGGTGGGCGCGCCGGCGGTCGATCCACCGAACAATTCGACGCGGCGCAGCTCCGCGCCGGCGAGTGCGACGAGCACATGATGTCGGCGGCGGTCACGCGACGAGGGAGAGCCGCAGGATCCCTCTGTGGAGCAGGCGCACGAAAGCGGCGATGAGCGGCGCCGCGAACAGCCACCTGTGGGCGGTCACCGGGGTGACGTCACGCCTCAGCGAGCTGGATCCGGGAAGGGCATGGGGTCACGCGGGCCCTGTCTGCAGCAGCAGTGCTAACTGAAACGACAAAATTCCGGATGGACCGGAGAGTGTCTACTCTCTTTCGACGCACCGTGCTCGGGCCCAACGAAAAGCTGGCTGGTGGTCGCGCGCGGCGCGTCGGCGCCTCTCCAACTGGTTGGGCACCTCGGCTGGGTCCATCGGCACGAGGCCCGCCGCGTCGGGTAGCCCCGCGAGCGCATGGGCGGCCGGCGCGAGCGGAGGACGACGGGCCGAGATCCGCAGCTTGTGCCAAAGGGGGGGGTGGAGCCTCGGTACCCTAGAACGATTCGTCGTACCCCCGTTCTACCACGTACCAGAGAACGAGTCGACCCCCCCCCCCCCGACCGCACTCAGATTAGTGATTACAGTCTTTACAGAAAAAAGGGAGAAGAGGAATGGGGGTAAGAGAAAAGGGTCCGGTTTAAGGAAAAAGGGCGCCGAAAAGGGCGAGCTCATCCGTTTCACCCTTCGACCCAGCTGAATGATGAGCGGCGAGGCCGGAGAGGAGCTGGATACACCGGCCGCTCGCATCATGGCGCGTCGCGAGAGCCGTGCCGCGATGCCGGACCGGCTCAAGGTGGCGGCGCCGGACGACAGCTCGGATGAGGAGTGGAACGGAGACGACGACGAGGATGAGGAGGAGGACGGTCGCGTTTACTTGGACGCGTCGAAGTGTGGCCGCGTGCGCTTGCACGCGGTGCAAGGACCTGCGCAGTCGTCCTCCGGCCTGGGGGTGGACGACGAACGGCGCAAGAGCCTGGCCGACAAGGGCTGGGCACGCCGCACGGCGGTGGTGAACAGCGTGGGTGCCAGCGGTGCGGCGAGCTTCGAGTTGGTGCCGGGGCGCGAGCAGTTCGGCCCGGGCGACGATGCGGCAGCCGAGTGGGAGCGGCAGATGCTGCAGTTCACGGAGGACAACTTCGAGGACACAAAGAGGTCAAACTCTGAGGTCTCGGTTTACGATTTTTTCGCGCGCCCGTGCTTTGTTTTGGGTTTTCAGCGGCCAGAGCGCTGCGCGTGCATAGTTAGAGGTTAGGTTAGAGCTTTGGAGCACTTGGAGTGCAGTTATCAGCCGCACGCCTAAGGAAAGGAAAAGAGACGGGGTGCGAGAGGAAAACCTTATACAGCCTAAACAAGAATTCTGTCGCTCTCGAAGCCCGAGCAGTCGTCCAGGCATGAACAGGCATGAACAACAACAAGTTGCGTGTCGAAAAAGGTAATATATCTTTAAAAGACCCATAACCATAACTTAATTAAGAGAGATATACGGCTTATATCTCAGTGTGTCAAAGCCTCTTAACCGCTGGATGGGAGCGAGATAGAGATTGTTTCATCGGGTGTGTATATCACGTTGGAAGGATGAGCTCCACAATTCTACCACAGGTCCACAGCCACACACAGCACAGACTGCAGCGGCGACAGCCGGACTAGACCACACGGAGGAGCGCAGAGCTCACGCCTTGCGCCGGGCGGACTTGCCGCCGCCCTTGGCCTTGCCGGAAGGAGGCTTGGCGCTCGCGGCGGCGGCTTCGAGCGACGCGCGCTTGGCGCGCAGCGCGTCCGCGGCCACCGCCTTCTTCTGGATGCCGTGCTGCATCCGGTCGTAGAGCCGCCGCTTCTTGCGCGACATCATCATCTTCGCGAGCTCCTGTTCAGGGGGGGGGGGGGGGGTGTGAAGAGGCGCCGGTCGCACCATGCCGCCACGCACGCATCCTCTGTGCGCGCCTTCTCTTCGGCAGCGCGCGCCGCTGCCGCCTCTTCAGCGCCTCCTCCTCCTCCTCCCCCGCCGCCCGCCGCCGCCCGCCGTTTGGCCGCCTTGAGCTCGGAGTAAGGCACACCCTCGGCCTGGGCGCGCACCTGGCGTGACACGAGTGCGGGCGTGACACGAAAGCGGAGGGGGGGGGGGGGGGCACATCGCCTAGCTCGGACACACGCAGCCACAGCAGCAGAGGCGGCGCAGCCTCGGCCTCTCCTCTGCTGGCATCTCGGCCCTATCTCGGCCCTATCTCGGCCCTGTCTCGGCCCTGTCTCAGTCGCACCTCCGCGGCGAAGGCGGCCGCATCCTCGTCCTCCTCCTCCTCCTCGCCCTCCTCCTCGCCCTCGCCCTCGCTGCCCGCCTCCCCCTCGCTCTCCTCGTCGCTCTCCTCACCGCCGCCCTCGCTGCAATCCTCGCCGCCGCCGCCCTCGCCCTCCGCCTCGCCCGCCCCGCCGCTGGCGGTGAGGGCGGCGCGCACCCGCTCGAGGGGCGTGTACCCCTCGTCGCCTAAAAAAGAAAAAAACCGCCCCGCTCAACAGAAACAAACCCCGCATGATGGGGTCGTGTGCTCTTCGTCGCCGTCGAGGAAGGGCGAGAGGTGCGGCGGGCACAGCCGTCCCGGCCGGTACGGCGCCTGCGGTGTGAACACTGCGGCGTGAACACGCCAGCCTCAGGGCGGGAGTACGGCACTCGCCAGCACCGCGTGACTGCGGCGGGATACGAGTACGAGTACAGCGAGCACGGCCGAATGCGGCGGAATGCGTGCGTGTCCTCTCGAGCGCTAGTTGGAAGAGAGGAGCCCGAATGTTCTGCTTCTAGGGTGCGGCGCCGTCGGCAGCAACGCGCGCGCGTTGATGCAGTCGTACACCCACCTAGCTCGACGAGATGCAGAGGTCGGACGGGGCCGCGCAGCGGTTTCGGCACCGCAAGACTACGCGGGGCACACGGAGTACGGCCGAGCAGAGCCGAGTGCAGCCGCACCACGTGTCTGCTCGACTGCTAGCTCGACTGAAGGGGAAAGTGTCCTCGCCCCCGAGTCCAGCTGCTGGCTGGAGTGCACATGAGAAGAGAGGGGGGGAGGGGGGGGGAGGGGTGTGCCGCTTCTAGGTCCGCGGTACTGCGGCTGTACGAACTCTCGCGTCTTCGGCAGCATGTCCTCCTCCGCCATGGGCCGGTCCACGATCTGGTGGGTGATGCTGCCATCCGACCCCTATTCTTGTTTGATTGGATTTGGGTACCGGGTTTGGCAGGGTACTGGGCGCTGCTGCTGCCCGACGCCTCGAGCCGCGACGCCTCGCCGTCCCACCCGAGCGTGCCTAATCCAGCCCGTGCATCCCACTCGCCCGGTGGGGAGGTTGGTTGAGGGTGGGCCTCCGCAGGCAAGCACGACGAGGTGTCTGGGAAGTGTCTAGGAGGTGTCTAGGAGGTGTCAAGGAAGTGCCTCCGCAGGCAAGCACGACGAAGTGTCTGGGAAGTGTCTAGGAGGTGTCTAGGAGGTGTCAAGGAAGTGCCTCCGCAGGCAAGCACGACGAACTCGAGCGAGCGCAGCGGGCACTCGCGGCCGCAATACAGCACGCACGACCCAAACAGCTGCCGGAGCGCCTGGGTCGCCGTCAGGGCTGAGTGTCACGCACCACGCTCCATTAAGGGTGTGCTCCGTCGCTGCCGCCCAGCGCCTTGATCTCAGGCGCCATCTCCGCGTCGAGATCCTCTTGCTCGCCGTCGCCGCCCGCCGCGGCCGCCTCCTCCGCCTCCTCCGCCGCCTCCTCCTCCGCCGCCGCGTCCGCCGCGCCGTCGGTGTCGACGCGCGACAGCTTCTTGCGAAGCGCCGCCAGCTGCTCGGCCGATGGCGGCTTGGCGCCGCGCGCCGCCGCGCCGCCGCCGCCGCCGGGCGCAGAGAGGGCGGTTGGCGGCGGCGCGAGTGGTGGTGCGGCGCCCGGAGTCCGCATCGGCCCGGCGGAGGGGAGCATCAGCATGGCGGAGAGGCGGCCGCCCTTCGCGTCGGTGGTGTCGTCGATGGGCGGCGGGTAGGCGAGGGCGGCGTCGTGGTAGAGCTTGTAGTTTGTGAGCGTCATCAGCGCCTGCGCGCTCCGGCAGCCTCGGTGCGATCTCGGTGCGATCTCGGTGCGATCTCGGCGTGATCTCGGTGTGATCTCGAGGGTGTGTTTGCGCCTCGTAGAGCTCGAGGAGGTGACTGGGAAGTGTCTTGGAGGTGACTAGGAAGTGTCTTGGAGGTGCCTGGGAGGTGTCTTGGAGGTGCCTGGGAGGTGTCTTGGAGGCGAGTAGGAGGTGTCTTGGAGGCGGTGTCTGCGCCTCGTAGAGCTCGAGGAAGG